GAACCATCAAGCATGGAGAATCTTTAGGATGATTTCAGAGCATTTCTGCAGAAGGGTTCTGCCTATATTATCTATGCCCAGACAGTCTTGTAACAGAAAACAGGAATCTTTGACCTGCAGAATGCCAGAGACCATCTTCCTCTGTGGCCTGTGCTGTTTCATCACCGTTTGTTCACTGACTTCCTCTCAGTGTGTTCGACTCTGGGCAGGTTTTAGGGACACATTAGGAGACAAGACAGATGCAGCCCCTGCTGCAAGATCAATCCGAAAGTCAGGAAATGAATAAAGCCATTTAGCCACTGATAACTGCGGTGAAGAAAATAAAACAAGGCGATATGAGAGAGAGAGTGCCGGGGAGTTCGGTGGTCAGGAGAGACCTCCCTGGAAATGGTCATCTTGTGGGAGGCTGCTCAGGACCAGCGTCCCCAGCGCAGGGAAAGGACAGTTTCAGAGGCCCGAAGAGGATTAGCGTCAATTCTGTGCTTTTTACTTTAGCGTAGTGGGACATTCCCGAATTGCGTTTACAAACTCTTTTTTCCGACTTGGCCTGGCTTTCTACCAGGTGGTCATGATTTCATTTTCTCCCTGTGTTTCTTGCTTCTGGCTTGAGCTCAGCTCCTGCATGGGCTGACTGGTCAGCCGGGTTGTACCAGATGAACACCTTGTTTTTCCCAGGTCTCCTCTGCTGGAAAGTTACTTGATTTTATTTCATGTTCTCTTTCTCTGTACTCGGATTACCAGCAACAAAAATATTGTGAAAGTAGATGGGTCAAAATTTTTGTGATTTCCAGGTTGAAAGCCCACATCAGGGTCCGTGGTGGTAAGCAACAGCATCCAAACGTGGTTACCTTGGGTAGAACAGAGCAGAGCAGACAGCCTGGTGGCTGGAGAGCCAGACTCGGGGCAACCTTGGCGGGAGCAGATGCTTAAACTGGTCACTGAGAGCATTTCTGGGGCTACTGCAAGATGCTGATGCTGCAGCCAGTGGGCTCTGAAGGTACCAACAGCCCTGCTGCCTCTGTTGCCAAAGAGGACACTCCAGGCTGTCCCTGCCGTCGGCGAGCAGACTTGTCACACACGGGGCACACCCATGTAGCAGCGAAGGCTCATGTGAGCAGGTGTCCGGCTTTGGCAGCTTCTGTACTAAGAGCCGGGCTCTGCTTCCCACCCAGACTCCCTGGGCCCAGGAGATCCCCAAACCTAGGAAAGGGTTTCAGAGACTGGAAAACCAATAAAATAAATGGCCATTATAGGGTTTGTGATTTTCGAGCATACCCAGGAGATAAAGGACCCCACACAGTGGGAACTTCTTCTCTGTTTAGAACGATTATTTGGGGCAAAGAAAGTGCTATTGCAAGGTGGGACCAGTAAGGGGTATTGGGAGAGTGGGGGTGACCTGGCTCGGCTGGACGTGAGAAGGAAGTTAGGGGAACCCTTCAGAGATACGTTGGAGCCAACGTGCGAAAGCCATGCTGAATATGTATTGAATGTTTGGCCTTGATTTTTTAAGTAAAAGGGTTGTCACTGAACATTTTGAGGTAGAAAATCACCCAGGAAGAATATGGCTTTAGAAAATTAATTTGATAGGACAGAGGAGTGAGTTCAGTGTTTACTACTGTAACCCCCGTGGGAACTGAGGCTCTGGGCAAGGCCGAGGAGGGATACCGTGAGGGTCTTCTAATTCCCGGGAGGAGGGGAGCGGAGAATTGAGAGAGGTGCCACAGTGGTGGGAGCCCCAGGTTTTCCATGCGGGGTGACTGGGAGAAGGTGGCATCATCGGGGCAGGAGGACTCGACACGGGGGTGGGAAAAGAGTGGTTTGCTCGAGATGGTTCTGCAGCAAGCCGGGCTCCAGACGGTGAATTTAGGAGTCAGAACATCACGGTTCTACAACATTAGAATGTGGAGATGGTCTACTCTCATGCCCTCATTTAATTTTAAAGATAATATAAAATTTATTAGTTTGTGTTTAGTAGAGAAGACAGTAGATGTACAAAGAAAAAAAGCAAAGATGGGCTGTAATCTGTTTTCCAAATAATCCCTCTTGATTTAAAAAAAAAAAAAAAAAAAAAAAACCACCATAAATTGGCATAGTGCATGCACAGGACTAGCGTGTCAGGTGGTGTAGGCAAGCTCAGAGAGAAATGCAGAAGCCCCCCTCTGGGAGCCCGCCATCGCCATCACGGAGGTGCGCATGGTGACGAAGGGAGTGTGCTGCGCACAGCTCTACCTTTCCTGTTTTTCATACCATTTTCAAGATGTATTAAGTTAAAATGCATGAGATTGTCTTCCTCACAGTCCCACACATCTTAGGCATCTTAGTAGTATTTCATTTCATGGCACCTAACTCAGAGTCTGGATAGCAGCCAGTGGCCACAGTGTCCGCTGTGCAGGGCCATCTCCTTGCACTGGCCCCTGCCTTCTCTCCACCTCTCTCCCACTCCTCCCCAGTAGAGACAGGACCCTTTCTCCAGGCTGACTGTTCTGTCCCCTACCTGTCTGCCCGCTCCTCTTGGGCTGCAGTTCCCCTGAGTGCCACGGTCCCCAGGAAGCCCTCTGTGACCCCAGAGTGATCAGGTCACCTCCACTTTCCCTACGTGAGCTGCTCCGTGAGGGCAGGGCCCTGTCTCCCAGTCACACCAGTACCCCGAGTGTGCAGCGTTGTGCCCGAGGAACTTTATCCACGGCAGTATGTTCTCTGACTTTGGGCAGATAAACATGCTTATGGTCTGGAAACATTTTGATCTAGAAAATCACCCAGTGATTATAACTGTAGAGATACGGAGCCATTTGCAGTCACTGCTGTAAAAGAAAAGTGTTTCTGACACTTGCTTAAGCCAGCAAGGAAGACTCCATTCAAGACTATTGCAGCAGGGGAGGACGCGACTCCAGTGTGGCAGGGACGAGGGTGGATGGAAAGCGGGGGGCAGGGTGAGGGAGTGGGTGGAACGCCACTCAGGGGAACTGGATTAGACGTCGGGGTGGAGGAAGGGCCGCTTGGTGGGGTCTTAGGGGATCCACTCAGCAGGTCTCTGCTCGCCAAGGACCGGGCCTTCTTGAGAAAAGGACTCAGGAACCTGGCTAAAGTTCGGTCAAGGAGGGGTCATTGCATTGCCAGCCAAAAGAGCCACGTGGCAATGATGCTCTTTAGTATCTACTGCCACATCCTGAAAAAGACAGGAGAGACCCTTGGGAATGAGAGACTACACACAGCAAAGCTCTGTGCAGCCAAGCATTGCCAGAGAACGTCAGTGGGATCCACATCCAGGGCGAACTTGCATTGTTCCTGTGTTTCAAAATAGGAATGATAAAGTATAGACTCCACCCTTCCTCCCAGGAGAATCCTAAAGACTGGTTATGCTTCCAGAAAGACCCGTCAGGTGTTTCAGCTCCCGGGCAGTGGGTGCTGGCGTTGTCCTCTGAGACGTCGTCTCACATGCTCCTGGTTACGGGGCTAACCCGACCTGCCTCCATCGGTGACTTCAGTCACGGACAGAACTGAGCTCGGTCCTGTGGGGCACTCTCCAAGCTAATTTCGCATCCTTACCACTCTGGGTATTGAGTCAGCCAGGGTGACCGCACAGCCCTGTGCCCGGGGCACTGCTGGTTTTTGCCTGTTTTCCTGAAGTGATGATCAGCAGAGCCTGTTTTCTTTCTTGGACTGTCCCAGTTTGGTTGATGCATTACGTGGCCCCTTGGCTCGTTGTCCCTCTGCAGAGAGACTAACTCTGGGCCTAGCACTGCTGCCCTGATGTGAGCCGCGATAGGTCCCCTGCAATGACTAGACATGAGCCATCCGTTTTTAGCGAGGCAGCCGGTGGTCAGGAAGATTCTTGAAGAAATCAGCAAACATGAAGAACCGTACTACAGGCTCTTTCGACTTTCTCAGTGGGAGTGAAGGAAGACAGGGGAGCTGCGGGGATGGGAGTGGCAGACAGGAGGGTGAGGCTGGGACATCCGGGGATCTGTGGTGAAGTGTCACCAAAACCGCTGGGTGTATGTGCTTGGAAATCCTGGTGAGTGATAGAGTGAGCACATTTTAATGAATGGTACCGTGTCCTTATTTAAATTTCAGTGTGTCCATGCAAAGTGCTGGCAAGACGAGAATTTGCTTCCTATTTCGCAAATCATGGGTGTGAAAGAAACCACCTCCAGTTCTCATTGCTGATCTGCTAAATCATTCCGTATGGGGGCTGGAGGTGGAGGGGAGGGCTGGCCCAGAAATCGTGTTTTTAACAGAGTCTGGAGTTCTGATGGGGAGTTTGGTTTGAGAACCACTGCCTTGGACATTTTGCAACAAAGATGTGTTCTTATTAACTTGCATATATTTGCAGGTTGGATCATGTATTTAATTATTTAACAACCCCTTGTTGACTGTCATCCTGGCCTGGGGCTCGGGAGGCAGCAGTGAGCGACACGATTCGTTTGCTGCCCAAGGAGTTTTCCCGACAGACAGATGGGTCTTCACGTGGTCATGCCCTCACAACAGCATCGCCACCCAGGGGACACGGAGGGCTACCAGCACTGAGTCAGGGGCCGAGTCGGGGGCCAACCCTGGACTCAGGGCTCAGGACAGGCCAAGGGTGAGGTGGGCGGAAACGTAACCGCCTGCAGCGGGCACCGTGTGTGCAGCGGGCACCGTGTGTGCAGTGGCCTCGTGCAGCAGAGCACAGGGCTGCGGGGCCGCCAGGGCTGCAGGGCCAGGGTGGGCAGGCGGGGCAGGGGACTTGGGCCCTCGGAATGCCCACCAGCACTGCAGGGCTGCAAATGAGGATGACGGGGTCAAAGCCGGGCCCTCAACCCAGCGAGGCGATGGGCACCACCTGCAGCCTTCCACAGGCCGCTGGGGGTGCTGGGTCGCCCACGTGTCTGTCAGGGAGGGGCTGTACTGGGGAAGCGCCTGGGCTTTGCAGGGATCCTGCTGCTGGGTGAGGCCCCTTCTGCAAAGCCATCCACTTAGAGTCTGCCAGGCTCACGTCTGTGTCTGTCTTCCTCCTAGATCCTGCCCGGCCTGTACATCGGCAACTTCAAAGGTGAGTTCTTGCTTTTTTGTTGTTGTGGTAAAATACACAGAACATAAGATGTGTCTTCTTGACCATTTTAAAGTGTGTAGGTCAGTGGCTTTAAGTAATTTGCATTGCTGTGCAGCCGCCACCAACATCCTTCTGCAGGACATTTCCCGTTCCCAAACTGAAACTGTGTCCCTGTTAAACACTAACTCCCCATTCTGCTCCTCCCAGCCCTGGGCAGCCACCATTCTGCTTTCTGCCTCTAAGAATCTGACGACTCTCAGAGCCTCCTCCTAGTGGAATCACACAGTGTTTGTGCTTTTGAGATGGGCTGATTTTACTGAGTACAGTGTCACAGTTCATCCATGTCGCAGCAAGTGTCAGAATGGCCTTCCTTCTTAAAGCCGAATAGTGTGTGCAGAGGCCTCATTTTGCTTCCATTTATTTGTTCGTGGACATTTGGGCTGTTTCCACCAAAAGTGAGTTCGCTTTCTAAAAGATCAGCTTTAGACTTCTCATGGGTGAGACTGACAGGCAAAGTGTAGGCTCAGGCTACGGTCTGTTCTGGGAGTGGCCACCACGTGCACCCAAGCCCCTTGCTGGGTGCACCCCAACCCCTTGCCCGTCCCCTGATGGAGTGGGGTGAGGCTGTGAGGCTCCAGCTCTGCCTCAGGTGCTCCTTTTAACTCTCCACCCCCGTTGGGACATGATCATCAAAAGATGGTGGACAACAGGCACATTCAGCAATCACGTGACTGACTTATAACCTTTGACCACTTTCATTTTTTAGTTACTGTTGAGAAATTTTCAGAAGCCTGTTCTTTTTAAGTCACCCGGGAAACAAGAGTGACAATTTCATTTCTGGCAGATTCTCGTCTGCTGCTGCTGCTCTTCTCACACATTTCCTGCCCCTTGTTCGGTACTAATTGATTCGCTGTCGGCTACTGACTCAGCTCTAGAGCTCGGTGGTCCCTGGGCCTATCGGCTTCCAGGGAGGGGCCAAGCCCGCCTGCCAGGTGACATTCAGAGTTTGTGTAAGTGAATCACTGAGATGAGGTGGGAGGATAGAGATGAGGGGCCCTTAATAGGCTGGGAGGGGCTTGGGAAGCTTGCAGACAAGGCCCCACCGTGTTAGGTTGGACAGAGCTGGACCGTGTCGTCGGCAGCTCCTGCTCCTCCCTTCCCTCACAAGCCGGAACTTGGCCACTCCTGTCGGCTTTCTGGATGCTGCTGAAATTTCCGAGTTCAGATTCAAACTGATTGTGCAAATAATCTTTATTATTTCTCTGCGCTCTGTATGATGTTTATTTCCACACACCTCCCGCCCCATCTCCCTCCAGCTCACTCATTGGCCTCCAGGAGAATTAAGCACAGAGCTGACAGCTGCTGATTGTACAGCATGTTAAAAATAGTACTGGGCTTGCTAAATTAGTAAGCGTTGTGGTTCTGAAAAAGCAGCAAACCCGTTGTGGGGGGCAGGCCGGGGGACATTAATGAAGCGAATGTCAGAGTTATTTAGTGAGGTATTAACTGTTTTCATGGGGAAAGGGAGTGTCTTTGAGAACAGAGTTTAGGATAAGTTCTTAGAAGTAGAATTCTGGATGAAAGGTTTGAAATTGAACATTTTAATAAATATGAACCAAATTCAGTACTTCTGACAATAGTATGTGAGAGTTTCAGCCTTAATCATGAAAGATTACCTTTTCTGGAAGGATGGCTTTAAGAAAATATTTAAAATTCTTTTCATACCACACGCTACACCTGTTTTCTAAATATTCCGTGACATAGGACTCCTTCCAGCTTCCTGGGTCTCGTGCTTTGTGGTTTAGTCTCTGAGAGTGCTGTGGACAGCCCACCTCCTCTCCTTGTTCTTCGGGTCGATGCTGTGTTACTACCTTGAGTTATTCTGATGTTGGCATGAGGTTGTGTTTTATTCACTCATTAGCCAAACGTTTATTAAATGCTTTCCAGGTACAAGGCTTGTCTGAAAGAAAGGAAGGAGAGTGCAGTGAATTGGCAATAGGGCTGGAAGGAGAGGAAGTATTTTCCCCCGTTGTACTGTGAATTCACTTGTTCATTGCACAAGCTTGTCGGGAGCACACAGTGTGCTGGGAGTTGGATGTGGACCAGCGTCCCTGTCCTCAGGCTGTCAGAGTCCAACAGCAGGTGCAGAACAGGCAGGGGCCAGTGTGTGTCCTCAGACGAGTTACACACCTGGGGGTGTGGACTGGGAAGATGGCGTCTGCCTCACAGGGCTGTCGTGGGGCTGACCCAGACAATGGGCGATGCCCTCGGTGGCTCAGTGCCCAATACCTGGTGCCCTGAGAAATAAACACCCACACACTCACTGCTACTGCCATGGGGCCCGATAGATGCCAGGTCTGCAGTAGGCAGCTGGGTGGCATTAGCTGGCAAGGGTGGAAACCTGTGTGGAATGTGGCCTCTTTTTTCCTGGGCGGTGAATCCAGCTGTCATCTGTGCTCTCGCCTGGCATCTCATATAGTCATTTATCTTGCTCTTTTAAAATCACAAGTAATACGTTCCTCTTGTAACACAAGAACCAGGAAAGTGGAAAGGAACGTGGACAGTCACTCCCTTCTTCTGTCCCTTCTCCTTCCTCCCCTCCCTTCTCTTCCCCTTCCCATTTCCTCTCTTCCCTCCCCACTTCCCTCCTTTTTCTCTCCCTCCCTTCCTTCCTTCTCCTCTTCCCTCCTTCCTTTCAGTGGGATCCCTCACATGTCACTCTGCAACCCTTAAAAAAAAAAAAAAAAAAGCTTTGTAATGAATCAACAAATGGTTTTGCAGCACCTGGTGACTATTCCTCCTGGAGAAGACCCACAAACAAACCCAGCTCTGAGCCCGGCCTTTGGGTCTTCGACGCTTTGGTGAGAGCCTCCCTGTTGGGGCTGCCCACACGCCAGGAGGGAAGCCAGAGAGAGCAGCCCCTCCCTGGGCCAGAGGGTGGGTCTGTGGCTTCCTTCCAACTGGGCACCAGCAACAGTGGATGTCAGCTGACACAGGAAGCCCTCGTTGTTTGAAGATGTCCACAGATTCTAGAAAAGAGGGAACGCTCTTCGGCACGGTGTGTTTGCCGGTGGTGCGCGTTGAGACCATGTTCACAGTCTAGAGCTTGTGTTCTGTGTCTGCCAGGGAGACAGACAGCCCTGGTGGGTACCCAGTTGTTTGGACAAGGCCAGCCTGGTCAGAGGTAGTCTGCTGCCAGCTCGCTGAGACAAAATAACCATGCTCGATAGGTCAGCATATGTCCATCCAGACTTACTTTTCCACGTGAATTCCCACTGGTTACCTTCCTGTTGGCTTTATGAGTTACCAGCCTGTTGCATTTGTGATTGGCAGTTGGGGAGGAGCCACTGGCACCAGGCCGAAGTCCGTCCCCTCTGGGGCTCGCTGTTAGGGTGCACGTGGCCTTCTGGGGTTCTCGCTAAAGTGCACGTTCTGATCAAGTAGATCCGGGGTGGAGTCGGCTGCAGGTGATGCTGTGCTGAGGGTTGGAGTAGACCCAGGGTGGAGTCAGCTCCAGGTGATGCTGTGCTGACCCGGGGTGGTGTCGGCTGCAGGTGATGCTGTGCTGAGGGTTGGAGTAGACCCGGGGTGGAGTCGGCTCCAGGTGATGCTGTGCTGAGGGTTGGAGTAGACCCGGGGTGGAGTCGGCTCCAGGTGATGCTGTGCTGAGGGTTGGAGTAGACCCGGGGTGGAGTCAGCTCCAGGTGATGCTGTGCTGAGGGTTGGAGTAGACCCGGGGTGGAGTCGGCTCCAGGTGATGCTGTGCTGAGGGTTGGAGTAGACCCAGGGTGGAGTCGGCTCCAGGTGATGCTGTGCTGAGGGTTGGAGTAGACCCGGGGTGGAGTCAGCTCCAGGTGATGCTGTGCTGAGGGTTGGAGTAGACCCGGGGTGGAGTCAGCTCCAGGTGATGCTGTGCTGAGGGTTGGAGTAGACCCAGGGTGGAGTCAGCTCCAGGTGATGCTGTGCTGAGGGTTGGAGTAGACCCAGGGTGGAGTCAGCTCCAGGTGATGCTGTGCTGCCGGTTGGAGTAGACCCGGGGTGGAGTCAGCTCCAGGTGATGCTGTGCTGAGGGTTGGAGTAGACCCGGGGTGGAGTTGGCTCCAGGTGATGCTGTGCTGCCGGTTGGAGGACCCCGTGCTGAGCACCGGCGTGCTGAGTTCTGCCCCTGTAGGTCTGTGCTCAGGAGGAGCGCGCTGGAAATATACAAGCTTGTGTCTGTGCCCCGAGGAAGCTCCACCCTGGGCCTTACAGCTGGATTCCCAGCTCGTGACCTCACTGCTCCCTGGCCTTCCAGGACAATCAATAATGTGAAGTCCGTAAGAAATAAAGTTCCAGGGTCATCACCCAGCAGGTTTCATTAAGCATTCTATGCACTCGAGTCAGTGGGCAGAGCCTGTGCCTCACGGGAAGGGATGCATCAGCGGCCGTGCTGTGAGCCTGCAGGGAGGAGGAGGAGAAGCGCTGGCCCTGGAGTGCTTCCCTTTGCTTCGGAGTCCAGCAGTCCGCTGGCTGTTGTGTGATATCGAGTGGTCTTCTGTATTCAGAAATGTATACTTTTTTTTCCCCAGGCCACTTTAAAAAGATTGGCTGTGTATTTGTATTATAAAGGCATTTTACTGGGTGAAGAGAATGTTCTAAAGTTATGATCTGTGACGGTTACGCAGCCTTGTGAACGTATGAAACCACTGAATCATGGACTTGATCAGGGTCCATATTATGGTCTGTGAATTACATCTCATTAAAGCTGCTGTGAAAGGAGAAAAGTAGATTGAAACAAATACGGATTGTTAAAATTCGAACGCCAGGCGGAATGGGTGTCGGGAGGAGCCAGGCGGGAGGGTAAGATGAGCTGGCACCGTCAGGCTGCCCCACGTCTGCTGGGTGCCTGTCCCACCTCCTGCGGGTTCGGGGAGCGCCAAAGCCCTGGCTTCGTCTGTTTCACTGCTTGTCTAAAACGTCCATGCTGGTGGCGATTGGAAAATCCCATTTTGGTGTGAATGTGGGACTGGCTGCCTGTGGCTTCCAAAACGATTCTAGCTTCTGCCTAATTCCAAGCTAGCCCTGCTGGTACCCCAACCTGTGAGGGGTGGGGGTTGGCAGTGAGTCCGCATGTGCTGTGTAGATGGCTCCCATCCATAGCAGGGGGCTTCGAGGTAACTGTTTAGCTCGAGCGGGAGTGAGAGGCGACTGTTCCTGCATGATGGATGCCTTTCTGAGCCTGATAAAGGGCTCGTGTTCCTCATATAAAAAGGTTTTTTCTTTCTCACTTTGGGTCAAAAGATGAGCCGGTCAGAGATAAACTGAGGCAAAATACTGGAAAGCAATAGCCCTAAATTGGAAGCTCGAGAATTTGAATCTGGGAAAGCAGTAGCCTGGAATGTGAAGCCTGAGAGGTTGGAGCAATGAAAAGAGTTTTAAAATGAAACTGGTATTTTGATATTAGTTAAATTTTTTTCCTGACATTGCTGAATGTTTAAAACAACATTTCTTGATTTCTGCGTCCTCATCAAGGCTTGTTGGAAATGGAGATGCCTCAGCCCCGGCTGGATCAGGAACTAAGCTCTGGCCTCCGCCTTTCTAACTGAGCCTCTTGATAGTTCACAGGGTGTTAAACTTCGGAGCCACTCATGTAGAACACACACACACACACACACACACGCACGCGCGCGTAAACGATAAGGAAAAACCCACTTGTAATTCTGTCTCTGAGCTGGGGCTGCCTTTGTACCGGTCCCGCCGTGCTCCCTGCTGTGTTTGTCTCTGTGCTTTTATACATTGGGTTTGTGTCACATTCATGGTTCACATTATACCCTGAGCATTTTCCCATGCCATGAAATAGTCTCCAGAACCATGACAATTAAACATTTGCCTTTCTTTGTTGTTGTTGTTTTGTTTTGTTTGAGGTGGACTCTCACTCTGTTGCCCAGGCTGGAGTTCGGTGGGGCGATCTCGGCTCACGGCAACCTCCGCCTCCTGAGTTCAAGCGATCCTCCTACTTCAGCCTCCCTAGTAGTGGGGATTACAGGTGCACACCACCACGCCCAGATAATTTTTGTAATTTTAGTAGAGACGTGGTTTCGTCATGTTGGCCAGGCTGGTCTCACACTCCTGAACTCAGGTGATCCGCCTGTCTCGGCCTCCCAAAGTTCCAGGATTACAGGCGCGAGTCACCACACCCGGCCTGAACATTTGCCTTTCAATCCATTTCTCCTGTATCATTTTGAAAAGCTTGGCCAGGCTGGGATGGGGGCGCAGGGCAGTGGACCTCCTCATTTCCTGCTGGCCCCGGTTTTGTAGGTTAGTAGAAGGTTCCAATTCAGGGGATCACACCATTCAGTCTTCTTTTTGCAGGTGGGAACATTGGAAGGGAATATAATTTTGTTTTCTTCCTAGTTTCATATGGAGATAATTTAATAGCCAACTGAGAGCTGATGGACAATTCTGTTTGGAATTTCCAGAGCGAGTTTCATTTTCTAATTGTGCTTTAAAGTGAATATAGATGATGTAAACCACAGGCCTGTCTGATTCCAGAACTGTCCATGCTTTTGACATCTGGGGAAAGAAGTAACGCACAGGCTCCTTTGTCTTCCAGAGTTAGTGGTTCTTTTGTATTTAGCTTTTTAAGAATTCTAATCATTAAGAGGTCATTGAATTAAAAAAAATATTTTAAATATTCCTAATATTATGTGTCTCATGCAAAAAGACTGACCTAAGGTCGTCTCTTACAAATGCTGACTACAAAATGGTCTCGTAAATTTAGCTTCTTGATGATGTAATCCATCATGATTACAACGTTGATTAATCTAAGTGCACTTCAAGTTCTAGATTAACACTTTTTTTGCCTAAAAGGAAGAAGCTGAGGCAAAATTAATACAGAGAGTTTATTTGGGCCAAGCTTGAGGACTGTAGCCTGAAACACGCTTTCAAGTTGCCTTGGGGAGTGCTCCGGAGAATAAAATAGAGGCTCAAGTTTTTAAAGAAAAAAAGGCGAATCAGGAGAGTGGTGATTACAAAAACTTGTTGAGCAGGAATTCTCATTGGTTTATAGAAGTAATTACGTTGGTTAATGACTGGCTATACGATATTGAACTGTGATGTACGGCATCTTATGGCTCCTTGGCATCAGTCTAGGGACCACATGGCAGATGGTTCGAGGTAGCCATTTAGCCAAGCAGGAGTGAGCGGAGGCTGCTGTTATATTCCAGAGGCCTGTCTGTGCCTGATCATTTCAAGGGACTCTTGTTCCTCATAGAAAGTTTTTTTCTTTGTCACTTTGGGTCAAAAGATGAGACGATCAGAAATAAAGCTAGACAAAGGTATGAAAGCAGTAGCCCGAAATTCCCTACGTATATGGTCAGTTATGAAGTTTCAGGAAAGAAATATGCAAGTCATTTTGTGGGTTTCTTTTTGTTTTTTTTTTTTTCTGGCTAGAGTTTAGGAGTAATTAACTTGCAAAGATATCAAAATGTCCATCCCCTTTCTTCTCTGACAGATGCCAGGGATGCGGAACAGTTGAGCAAGAACAAGGTGACACATATTCTGTCTGTCCACGATAGTGCCAGGCCTATGTTGGAGGTAAGAGAGCACCGGGGGGCGTGTGTGGGTGTCTTCGTTTGTATTCTGTGGGAGTGCGTGTGACATTCACGAAGGCGGCCACGTTCTCTCCGTGCGAACTTGCTCCTGCGGTCTCTGAGGGTGCTCCCGTTGTGCTCAGGCCATATTTACGTTACCGCGCTGTCTGTGGCGTGGTGCAAGGGTGTGTGCTTTTTCTGATCACCCTCCTGCTGCGTTGCCACTTTGGCTTTCTTGGCTAAATGCCTAGCAATAAGCTGATGCTGCATTTCCCACTGGACCTTACGGACATTTAAAGCCCATTTTCATTCCTTTCAGAGTTATCTCTGGTTTTAAAATCCAAAACACTTCGGCCTGCTCATTTCCGGATTTTGTCCCCTTTAAGCTGAAATAGCCACCATTGGCATTCAGGGGTTAAAGAAAACAGAAGGTAAATTGTGCCTGGAGGTTTCCCAGGGCCCTGTAACCTGGAGACTCGTGTAGAAGCTGTTGTGTTTTAGGTTTTCAGGGTAAACAGGGTGTGTCTGCTTGTGCACTAATTCCAAAAACATCTTTAAATTTACCCTAATGGACGGTTTGAGCTGTTGGCTAGAGGTAAAATCTATTTATGTTTATTGGCCTTGACAGAGCCCAAGTTACCTCCTTTTAGAAAATAATGCTGTGTGGTTGCGATGTGTCTGTGTTTTTCTATTTTAGGGTGGGGTGTTGGAAAGGGAGGGGTGACTTGTTCTGAAAGAAAGAATCCTGGTTCAGGCTGTTTTCATTTAGATTTCTATTAGGCAAGAGTAGGTAATGTTTTTTAATTGTATCTATTCTCTTTAGCCATAAGGGCTGCCAGATTTTAGTTAGTATAAAGCAAGCTAAAACTAGTGAGAATGTAGAGTAATAAATGATTCTACTAAACATTGTAGTACCAGAGAACCATAGATGGTGAACAAACCTCAATTAATTTCTCCAGATCGCCGAGCTCCTACTTCCTTGTATTGTTTAGCTCATAAATTTTTTTGGTAAGGTGCCGTAATTTGTGTTCCAGCGTGATTTTATTGGAAATAACAACAACAACAAAACAGTTTTTGGAGCCTAACAGTTCCTTTGAAAATAGCCATTTTTTAATCTGTCAACAGTAGTTTGTATTTAAAATACAGCCAAGCTATGGCCAAGATGGTAAGTTAAACTGCAAACTGGTCATGATTGACTTCCTCTTAAATCACAAGATGAGGCTTGAGGTTTCCTTTATTTTAATAAATTGCAGAGATGCCCTCTCCACCCTCAGCCCCCAGGCCTGCCTCCCTGCCTTATACTCCATGTCATGGAACACACTGTCGTGTGTGCACATGACCCTTAAATCTGCTCCCATTGTAACCTCTGTGTAGACAGGAGATCTGCCAGTGTTAGAAATCAAAGCTCCAGCCCTTGTCACTCGGGAAGCCACAGGCTGGCGAGTGAAGCAGCGGGGGTTGTAACTCACGTATAAGAAGCCCACCGATTGTGTAAAACCTCAGAGGTGCGGGCAAACTGTGTTCCCGCACAGCACACTGCAGATGCTTTTTTATTCCCTTTGTAGCTCAGTCTATAAGGACAAATTCTGCCATTAAAAAGAGAGAGAAGTGCTGCCCTTTTTCTTCACTGGGATGGCTTTTTCTTGGAGACATCCTGTTGTGGTCTCTGGGTGCTGTTATTATCTTAGCTTCATAATAAGTACTTCCATGTGATTTTATATTTATTAAGTGTTATACCACTGTTTTGTAGCATAATGTAGTTTAGTATTGCCCCCTTAGCATTTTATTAATCTTTAAGTTCGCAAGTAATGCATGGTCTATTCTTATTTTAAAAATTAAACCAACAGCCTCTGATTGCACAGTGGGGAAAAGTGAGGCACCAAAGTTACTTGAATTGGTGGTGCCCACACTAAGTTATACTCTTAGAAGTTTCAAATCTTTGTTTAGCTGTCTGCCTGGGGCATAAAGGCAGCCTTCTGTCTTGAGTTTCAAATCCAGATCCGGAAGCTGTGTCCTCACGCAGCCCGAGATGAGTCCGGGAAATGATGTGTTTGCAGTTGGTGGGGAATTAATGGATGGGTTTGATGCCTCGGCAGCTCCATGTTCTGCCGGCCCTGATCCTGGGAGAGAAACGGGGCAGGGATGAAGGTGAGCGGGGCGACTGTGCGGGGCCAAGCAAATGCAGTGCGCTGACCCCCCGGTTGGTGAGAGCCCCTAAGTGAGGGTGAAGGGATAAATGGTAGGCGAGGAGAGAGCTGGGCCTCCTCTATTTTCTGAGATCTTCAAAACCACACGTGTTTATTGATGGCCGCTAGCTTAAATAACATGGAAGGTCTGTTCTCAGGCCTTCAGAGTGGCTGTGCCTTGCCTGTGGTCAGGGAGCGGCTGGATGGTCTCCAATGCGTCTTGGGTGGATGAGACAAGGTATGTTTATCCCCTGGACCATGAGGGATGAGGTGGTCAGCCAAGGGAAAAAGGCCTGTGTCTCCAATTTCTACCTCTTCAGAAGAGTGGCTGAGGAGTAGACCTTCCAGAATGAAGATCTTAGAAACGTAATAGAAACCTGGGGACTTGCAGGCTTTCTGGTCCGCCCTAAAGTCACATCTGAGATTCTGAGCAGCTCTGGCCCATTTCTGTGCCCCACCGCTGTGTGTCTGAGACAGAAGTCCCAGCTAAGCAGGGTCTAGAGATCAGCAAGCCCAGCTCCGTCGCTGGGTGGACAGAAACCTGGAAACCTGGACGACGGGAGACATGAAAGGGCTTGCCTGGGGTTCATTCCCACGGCTGTCTGGATAGCCTGATGGAAGCCGGGAGTCCCCGTTCAGACCGGTGGTTTTCCCGGCATGCCTCGCTGCCTCCGTTCTCTCCTGGCACGACCGATGTTTCTGATATCCTTAGTGGTATTGGTAGATCTTACCAGGTCACTTTTGAAAAAGGTTGTGTGATTTGTGCTTGCTCTAGCAATGTATGAAAGTGCCTTTCCCCCCCACGCCATCACCAGCACAGAGCTTTGATCTTCGCTCTTCTTTACTTCTAATTAGCAAGATTTTTGCTGTTATTTGCTGCAAATACCCTCTTCACACATCCCGTCCCTTTCCAGATAGTTCTTCCCTTTGAAGACAAAGGGTTACTAATTTATTCATTTCTTGAGCCCCTACTACGTTCCAGGCCTTGGGACAGGTACTGTGGGTAACAGAAATGAGTTCATCCCAAGATCTTCCCTGGCAGAGCCTTTGGTGTATGCACAAGATATGCATTGTAGATGCTTTATAAACATTAATGACAGTGAGAGAAGAGCCGTGGCTTGGAGCAGGTGCAAATCCCGTAGGAACAGAGCCGGTGGAAGCCCAGAGAATAAGGTCCCTCTTCTGCCGCCAAATCTGGAGACATCTGACTGGGCCTTTGGCGATGCCTAGGAATTCAGAAAATGTGACCCCTGGCCTTCCAGCTGGTAGAGAATGCCGGGACATGACCCTCTGAGAACCCTGAGTCCAGCAAGGTGGATGGTGTTATTTTGGTGCCTCTGTGGCTTACCCAGCATCATCTGTCAGCACGTGGCAGGGCCAGGGCTGGAACCGAGGCCTTCTCACTACAGAGGCAAGGGTTTTGCAGCCAGCCATAGCCCTTCAGGAGTACACTTTTGGTATCGAAACTTTGGAGCACATGATGCTGGTAAAATGGCGGAAAATCATTGCCACATATATTAATTTCAATAGAAAGTAAGCCCAGACCTGCGTAAGAGGAAAAAACAAAATCCTCCTTCACCTGTTTCCATGCTTCGGACTTTGTCAGGGGGTTGCTTGTGTCTGCTCAGAAGTGTCTCCTTGTTTGTGGGGCTGGGCGGGGGCAGCGTCTCCAGCATCTGCTGATGGTTCTGGGTTTGAGGGTTGGTGAAAACTCCGGTTGCAAAGACAGTGATTTTTCAAATCAGAAACCCGATATTGTTTGTAGTTGCTGAGAAAATAATATTGGGCAATGAAAGGTTTCTCCCTTCCCCTGAAAAAAAGAAACAGAACTCTTTCTAATGTAAAAATTTCGGTGTTTCATTTTTCATTTTGTGTATTTAACCAGAGCACCTGCAGGAAACAAAACTATTTCTCACTATTAACAAAAAAAATGTTTTAAGAAATGTTATCACGCCTTCACTAAGCTTCTAACACGAAGAACCTGACCTTTTTAAAAATAACACGTGTTGTAAGATTACAGTGCAGGATCAGGTAGAGAAAAAGTGATTTATACTCATCTATGAAGACCGGGTATTGTTTGTATACCAGGTAGATTTTATGAGCTAGAGTTCAGCTTGGGTATTTTCTGTCTTCAGTGTGAACCATTTATGGTATTTTTAAAAGAAGGGGATGTTTTCATATGCAGACATTTATTCTTGGTGATTCTGTTTATATTTCTTTTAACACTGAAGACATTTTTGGAAGTGTTGGTGCCAGGACTTCAATTGTGTTAGTTTGTGGTTGGCTTCTGCCTCTGGTTGTTATCTGTATGCCTGTACTTCTGTCTTTATTTACCTGCTTACTGATGAGCAAGCTCCCCAAGGTGAGATGCCCAGTCTGCTTGGATGGCCCCGTCCTCTTTCCCTGGGTCGCTGCCCAGCTGCCACGTGGCCCTGAGGTTGAGGCTCCTGGAGGGGCCCTGGTTTCCTGCCACGTGTTCCTCTTGCTGATCCACCCCGTTTCTCTTGAACAGAAGTTTTGTTGGCTCCTCAAATGTAAAGCAAGCCAGAAGCAAGATGATAAAGGGTGTTTAAAGCTGAAGAAGGCATATGTGTATTCTCTTTCCTCTCTTCCCACCCTCTCCTGCCCACATGAATTCTCCCCTCCCTC